GGGATCCTTTAATTTTGCGCTTTTTCTTGTGGTTTGGTTTATGGATCTACATACTTTTTTGCTTGCATTTTTTTCTTAATGTTTTTTAATAAAGTTTTTAAAAAACAATTTTATGTAAGTGCAGTCCGCTTTTTTGGCCTTAATAATGTATTGTATTTTTTCAAATAGAAAAGAAAATTTTTAGATTTTTTTACAAATTTATTCATTACTTATTTTGTTTTTAGAAATGATAAGTTCGGCGGCCTACAAGTAATACAAACGTGCATTGTTTTCCGTTTTCTAACTAATTTGCTTTCAATATTTATATGGAATTGATAAAAAATATCATTAACCCTATGTAGTTCATCTTGAATTATCAAATTTATGAAAAAACTGAAAATAATTTATTTTTTTTTTTTAATTTTGCGAAATATAAATATTATTTTGCCTCTAAATGAAAAGGAAATAAAATAAAAAAAAGTAGCTCTGTACATAAAGTGCATGTGCACTTAAAATTTTTTTAAGGTTCATAAATATTTTGTTTTTATATTGTAATTTTTCGCTCGAAATTTCTAGATGTTTTTCTTTCTGTTTTATTTTATATTATTCCGTGTATTGATAAAAGTATTATTAACCCTGTATTGTTCAATTTAAATTATTAAATTTAAAAAATAAAAAATAAGTGCAATTTTGCTGCATTGATAAAGAAAATAATCTCTTCATGGTATTTTCACTTATCTTTTCAAAATTTGTTACAATTAGGCCAAAATTGTCTATAAAATGTTTTCTACTGAAAAGTTAAAGACCTTTAGCTCATTGCGTATTAAATAAGTAACTTTTCAAAACTTTTGAAGGAAACTTTATTTCATTTCTGTCAATATAAAAAATTTAAAAAAAATCAATATGGAAACATTTTAAAATTCTAGTTTTCTAGTTCTATAAATGCAAAATATTTCAATGCAATTCAGTGAATTCACAACCTTTAAAGCCTTGCCGTAACACTCTTATTAGTGAAAGACAATGAAAATAAGATAAGCAGCATTGAACTTAAATTTTGTATATCAAACACATAAGTATAACATTAAGTACACATGTACCAAATGGTACCTAGTAAAAAGGGATATATTCAGTACTTCTATCTATTGCTTAAAAAATCAGCCCTTTATACAAATATTTATACATACATGCATACATACGTCTATTATATAGACATTACTTTAAATTTTTTTTTCATATTGTATACAGAAGGTTTAGAGCAAATATAATGAAATTGTCTTCCAAAAAAAAAATTTAACCTGATTTTCTTGCCGTATTTTTCTAGTCATCTCGCCGGGTGATCGATTTAAATAATGCGTTTTATTAATTTTTTCTTTTTATTTTTTTTTGTTCCGAGAAAATCCCTAAAATTCTTAAAAGAAATTAAGACAAAATCTTCATTAAAAAAAAGAGAAAAAAATAGATGGAAATGGAAAAAATAATTTTGTTTTTTCGAACAAAACGCTTCTTTATATGATTTCTCAATTGACATGGTAGTTCAAACGACATAATGATAAACAAGCGCATGTATAGAAATATGTATGTAAGTATGTTGATATGCACATTTGCACATATTTAAGGATATGAAAAGAAATGGACAGGGTTGCCAATTGAAATAAAATTTACAAACTATTTTGTAATTCGATACCATGTATGACAATTTGTACAAATAAAGAAAATGAAATTTTACAGGAGCAAATATTTTAAAGTTTACCACTAACTTTAGTGGTGACTGAACTTGACTTACTTGATTACTTTCAAACTCGCCAAAAATTTAGCACAAAACAAAAAAATATGGTAATACTGAATGGAACATATATTTTTTTTGTATTTTAGTTGATAGTAACAACAATATATGTATGTTTAGATGGAATAACACATACATATAATTTGTATCTGTAATAAGCTTGTGTAGGTAGATATTTGTATGTATAAAGGTTTATTTGTACATCATATATATCTATATTTATATTTTAAGTACATATAATACAAATTATGTAGGTAGAATGTTTATTTGATGCAGCTGAGCGGATTAAATTGCGCTCTGAGAGATGAGCAAATGAGTGATATGTGTTGTATTAATGCATATTACCATACATATATATGTATATTATGTATATATGAATGATATTTTACACCATAGTTGTAAGTGGTAATTCGCATACACACATACATCATGATAACAGGAATTCAAGATATGACAATCACTTTCGAAGCATAATATTTCAGCCAATTTTTGTGATTTTTGATTTTTCGTGTCTCTAAATATATCATTACCTGAGTTTTTCTCCGCAATGTAAATATGTATATATACACAGTTTTGGAAGAATATTTTTACAAGTATGGATGTTTATGTATTAAAGTATGTATATCCATATTCAGACGTCCGAATATATGTATAATGTAAAAAGAAAAAACCAAATAGAACAGAACAAAAATTATGAAATAGAAAAATTGAAATATCAAAATAAATCGCTTTTAAATTATACCCGCCGTGAAAATGTTGGAATAACGTCTTAATTATAAAAAATATTCCGAAAAAAAGCATACTTTTATAAACATACATTATGTACATATATTTTTGGCTGTGGTTATTGCCGCTTTTATAACGTTATCTATTATGAGAATATTTTAATAAAATTTTAGCTTCTTTAATATGATTTTGATATGAGGAAATCTATAAAGGTGTAGGCAGCATTTACAAAAAGAGATACATACATTTCTTCAGATATATCATTTCGACAAAAGTACATTCGTAATTTATTTAGTATATATATAAATGTATACACTTAAATTCAAAATTAGATAGGGATATTTTGAATCTAGACCTTTCTAGTCGCTGGGGGCCTTAATATGTAATTCGATTTTCGCATTTGCAAAAATGCAAATGTACGTTAGAATCTACCATACAAATTGATTGGTGCTACATTATCAGTTTTCCGAATACAAAAATCGTTTCATGAATATTGAATTACATGGTAAGCCTTCAGACCTTGATATATTTAGTATGTGAAAGGTAAGGAAAATTTTGGATCCATTTTTTTTTATTCGATAATGAATAATATTTACATATTAGGTTACCTACATATTAACATATTATTCTATATAACTACGAATAAAGTTGAAAATTTTTAATACCCTTTAAGCATAGTTTAAACGTATTAAGTATGAAAATTAAACTAAAATTATATAAAAAAAGAGAGAAAAAAAAATAAATTAAAATTTATACACGTTATCTTCCGTGTTATAAAGAAAACCTTAAATTAAAATTGTATCAACACGACGTACACATTGCGGAAATACTAAAATTAGGACAAATCCAAAATATTTCGCAATAGAGTTATAAATTTTCTGTCTTTTTAAATTTATAAAAATATTATAAATTTTAAGTTTTAAAATGCTGTTACATTAAATTTTATATCATATTTCAAATTAGTTTGTAATATTTACTTATTTATTAAATTTTATTTTGATATTGTGTGCGTTCCCATTTAATATTATGAAATGTAATCAAGCGGTTTGTATTTTAATGTCAAAAACTATTTCATCAACCTTATGAACTTTATTATTTATGTACATACATATATACATAATTATATAAAAACTATTGTTTCATATCATTTACATGTATTATTTTTTTCATTCAAGTTTTGTTTTGCTAGGTTATGCTTCTCTTACCGCCGTAGTACACAAACCAACATATGTATATAGTGTATTTTGATATTGTGTATTTTGTATAGAACGTATGTACATATGTGTGTATGTATTTAAATCTTTAATATAAGAGATGTATTTTCCCTGCACAAAAAGTCAAAGACCATAAACAACAACAATGTTCAACTACGCTTTGCTAGATTTTTCGTGGGTGGTAATGGATTTTTTCTTTTTTTTTTTTTTTTGTATTTAAAAAAGATATTTGTAGGTACATTAAATCTTAAATTTTTCTATTTTTCTGTTGTTGATAATGTCGTTTTTTTTGAAATGCTGCATTTTTAAGTTAGTTCTCAAAATATTAACGAAAAAAAAAATTGGGTTGGGTTTTTTTAGTTTTTTTCATTATTGTTATCATTTTGCTTTCATGTTTTATACATAATCTTATTTTTTTTTTAATTTTTAAAAATCTGTATTTGATTTTTGTTAAAAAGCATTTGGCAGTATTTTACGTGTAAAACCAATATGTGCACGTAATCATTCAAATAAGTTTTGAGAAATTTACTAATTAATTAATAAAAAAAATTAAAAACTCCGCAATTTAATTTTTATTATAGCTCATCCTGTAATTTTTTCATTAGTTTTCCCTAGTGTTTATTATCATTTTATTTTCTTAGCATTCTTTGAGATGCAATCAATTTCTTTCTTTCCCTAAAGCAAAATTTTTTATGTCACAAAAGAGATGAAAATTTTTTAAAATTTGTGGCCGTTTCCAACAAAATTAAAACAAAAAATGTTATTTGTTGCTCGACAGTACGAGCGTCCATCCGTCTTTCTTTCCCTCCGTGTCCCTGTTCACCAAATTTCTATACTTCTTGAGAAAGATTTCTGAAGTTCTTATAAAAATGTAACTTTAGGTGAAACCTATTTCTCTGGAGCAAAATTTGTATATATTCCTCCGTAGTCTTTCCTCTCTCCTGCTGTAAATGAGTTTGGAAAACATTTTTGAAATTCCACAAGTGCGTACAAATGAAGTCTTGCTTCTTGAACAGCGAACCAGTACAGATACATATCATAATAATGACAACAAGCCATTTAAATGTAAGTTTCTAAGTTTTGCACTCGCTATAACCAAATGTGTAATATGGCGAGCCATTGTTTTGTCCCGAATTTATTTTATTTTCATTAGTTATTAAAAAAATTAAAAAAAGCTTTTATTTTTTGAATTCCGAAAACGTGTCTTCAGTTTTGATCCTTTTTAAATAATATCTTAAAATCTTAATATAAATAGAAAATTTATAATAAAAATTTTATTTTTAATTTTCATTTTAAAGGGAAAAGCAAGGGGTAATCGAACAGCAGTTTACCTACGATCAGTATTTCAATTTCATTTACAGTCACTAGGTACTACGATAGAAAAGCATGCTGGTAAAGTGTTATTTGTTGCAATATTGGTTTTAAGTATGTTTTGTGTTGGCCTTAAATCGGCTCAGATACATTCTAGAGTAAATCAATTATGGATACAAGAAGGTGGTCGATTAGAAAAGGAATTAGCATATACACAAAAGGCAATTGGTGAAGTTGATTCATCGACACATCAATTAATTATACAAACGGGACACGATCCGAATGCATCTGTTTTACATCCTCAGGCATTATTAACGCATTTGGAAGTACTAAAACGTGCAACATCAGTAACAGTACATTTATTTGAGACAACATGGTCATTGCATGATATGTGCAATAAGCCTTCAATACCAAGTTTTGAAGAATTTCTTGTTGAACAGATATTTAATGAGATTATACCATGTTCTATAATAACACCACTAGATTGCTTCTGGGAAGGAAGTAAACTTTTAGGACCAGAATATCCAGTTACTGTACCGTAAGTTTTTTTTATATTTACATAACACATACTTTATTAGTTGGTTCATTTAGTTTCTTCTGTGAACTTCAAACTTCCTTCTACTAGACAATAATTTTTAAAATTGCATAAGTTTGCACTCTCTGTGAATTTTTTAGACGCTTCGTTTTCTTCTTTGTGTATTTCATTGTAGGAAATATTTCTTTTAAGTTAATTACATACCTAAATACATTGGAAATAACTCCAAGTATTTATTAATTGTTTAAATTTATGATCAACTTGAAATTAATCCTAAAATGAAATCCCCACTTTCTCGAATTTCCTTTTATTTAAAAAAACAATCACATTTTAATTTTTAATTTCCTTGCTTATTTTTTTTTGTTGTAACGTTTATAATAGATGTCAATAAATTAGAATGAAAAAGCCAAAAGAATAAAATAAATGTCATTGATATTATTTATTATTTTAATTTATAATAAATAAATTTATTTTACAGCGATATGGATCAAAAAGTTCAATGGACATCTTTAAATCCGCAAGATATTTTACAAAATATGAAGAAGAAAATTGGTGATCAATCCATTTTTGATAGCCTTGAACAATATATGGACAGAGCTGGTATAAGTACAGGATACATAGAAAAACCCTGTCTTAATCCTAAAGATCCAATGTGTCCGGAAACATCACCTAATAAAAATTCTTCTCAAATTCCGGATGTAGGAGAGATATTAACAGGTGGTTGTTATGGTTACGCTTCTAAATATATGCACTGGCCGGAAGAGCTAATAGTTGGTGACGTTATTAGAAATCGAACGGGCCATTTAAAAAAGGCAAAGGGTTTGCAGTCTGTTGTTCAACTAATGACAGAAAAAGAGATGTTTGATTATTGGAATAGTAATTATAAAGTCCTTCACATTGATGGTTGGTCAAGGGAAAAAGCGGGAGAAGTTTTAAATACATGGCAAAAGAGATTTACAAATGAAGTGAATTCATTGTTAAAATCGCCTACAATCGAAAATTCGTATGAAATATATGTGTTCTCATCAGCTTCATTAGATGATATTTTGGAAAAATTTTCAAATCCTAGTCCGCTAAGTATAGTAATTGGTATAGTTGCTACAGTTTTATATGCATTTTTCACCTTATTGCGCTGGAAAGATCCTGTAAAAGGACAGAGTAGTATTGGTGTAGCTGGTGTTCTGTTAATCGGAATGTCAACAGCTGCCGGATTAGGTTTATGTGCACTTTTAGGAATTGTTTTTAATGCCGCAACAACACAAGTTGTGCCGTTCTTGGCCCTCGGCCTTGGCGTTGATCATATATTTATGCTTACAGCAGCATATGTAGAATGTGATCGACATGAGGAAGCAAAGAACATTTTAAAAAAAGTAGGTCCGAGTATTTTATTTAGTGCCGTGACAACAACGGGATCATTTTTGGCTGCAGTGTTTATCCCAGTTCCAGCTTTGAAAGTTTTTTGTTTGCAAGCAGCTGTAGTGATGTGTTTTAATCTTGCTGCCGCTCTTTTTGTGTTTCCAGCTTTGATATCATTGGATTTGAAACGAAGATCAGCTGGACGAGCAGATATATTTTGCTGCTGTTTTCCAGTATGGAAAGAAAAATTGCCTGTATCACCAAGTCTTTCGAACAATAATAACTATAATAATAAATTAAATGAAACAGTTCAAGGTTGTGATCGTGAATTGCGTCACCAGGAGGATAAATTGCTAAGTGGATCGGAGAAAAAAGATCCAAAATTTTCTTTGTCGAAGTTTGCTTTTAAATATTATACGCCATTTCTAATGAAGAGCTCTACAAAATTTTTTTCTATATTAATATTTATTGCTGCTATTATATTCAGTTTATTTTCATCTTTCAACTTACAAGATGGATTAGATTTAATAGATTTGGTACCAAAAAATACGAATGAGTACAAATTTTTAAACGCACAAACTTCAATGTTTGGTTTTTACAACATGTTTGCTGTAACACAAGGAGATTTTGAATATCCAACTAACCAGAGACTATTGCATGAATATCATGAAGCATTTGTGAGAGTTCCACACGTAATAAAAAATGATAATGGTGGATTGCCAGATTTTTGGTTAACAATGTTTAGGGATTGGTTATTCAATTTACAGAAAAAATTCGATCGAGAATATAAAGAAAATCGACTTAATCAAGAGCGGTGGTTTCCAAATGCAAGCAGTGATGCTATTCTTGCATATAAACTTTTAGTGCAAACTGGTTATGTTGACAATCCTGTTGACAAAAGTCTAGTAACACAAAATCGTCTCGTTGATTCTGATGGAATTATTAATCCAAAAGCATTCTACAATTACATGTCTGCCTGGGCTACAAATGATGCATTTGCGTATGGTGCTTGTCAGGTAACTAAAATATATTATTGAGTAATTTTTGATTTACAGTATCTTAATATATTTGACAGGGTAAATTGAGACCAGAGCCAAGAATATACGTACATTCAACTTCAGAATTTGATTTGAAAATCCCAAAAAGTTTACCACTGGTATACACGCAATTGCCGTTTTACCTACATGATTTAAAGGATACAACTGGTATTAAAATTCTTATTAGTCACATTAGAGATTTAAGTGTTAAATTTGAACAACGTGGTTTACCAAACTACCCATCAGGTAACATTCATACATACATTGAATTTTTTTAATTTAGACACATTCGCATTTTTTAATTTAACATTCGTAACATTCTAACCAATTTTTCTTTTAGGAATTCCGTTCATATTTTGGGAGCAATATATGACACTACGTACTTCATTGACTTTAATTCTATTGTCCTCATTATTTGCTGCTTTTGTGCTGGTTTCGGTGTTGTTGTTGTCAATTTGGGCGGCTATTCTTGTTGTAATCAATGTTTTTCTAACATTAATACAAATATTTGGTGCTATAACTTTACTTGGAATTAAGTTGTCAGCTATACCTGCTGTAATCTTAATTCTTAGTGTAGGATTGGTCGTTTGCTTTACAGTTCATATATCTTTGGTAAAATAAAATAATAAAATTCCTTATTTAAAATTTACAGTAAACTTTTTAACAGGGTTTTATAACATCAGTTGGTAATCGAGAACGAAGGGTTATGCTATCAATGCAAGTTTCAATGGGCCCGCTAATACATGGAATTTTAACTTCAACACTTGCTGTTATAATGCTATCAATGTCACCGTTTGAATTTGTTATAAGACATTTCTTTTGGCTTTTATTGGCTGTACTTCTAATTGGTGCTGTAAACAGTCTTATATTCTTCCCCATTATACTAAGTTTGATCGGCCCTGAAGCAGAATTAATTCCACTTGAACATCCAGATCGAATTTCAACACCATCACCAGTAATACAACGCTCAAAAAGAAATTCGAATAAAACTGTTATAGTTAATGGCAGACCACGTTGCAGTAAAGATCATTATCAACATAAACATGTCACCGCACCTGAACCGTCACTAACAACAATAACTGAAGAGCCGCCGTCATGGAAATCTTCGTCATCTTCTATAATAACATGCAATGAAAAGCAGAATAATTATAAACAATATCATCAACCAACAGCACCCAGTTCAGCAAATCATAAATTTAATACTGCAAAAATGGATGGTTGTAGTGATGGTAGTAACAGTAGTGGAAATGGAAATTTTGCAGAATTACAAAGTATTGTTGTTCAGCCAGAAGTAACAGTTGAAACAACACAATCTGGTACTGATTCAAATACAACTAGAGTTACAGCTACGGCAAATATTAAAGTTGAACTAGTAACTCCGGGAAGAGCGAGAACATATAATATCTCTAGTTAACAATATGAGTAAATTTATAAAAAAAAAAAACAAAAAAAAGAAACAAATTTTTTTTTAATTAAGAGGTAAAACTAATAAATTTATTGTTTTGTATAGGAAATTAAAATATTTAAATTTTTAAATAAATAAAATTAGTTTTAGTTATTTAAATTTGAAAAATCATAAAATAAGAAGCAACGTATTATTATATAGAATAATTTTGTTACATATAATGAAAAGAGTTGTTACAAATTTTATAGTTCCAAAGCGTTTTTAATTAATCAGTGTTTTATTTTTGAAATTGGTAGATATTTTAAATTAATTTTAGCTTGCTACTGAACATTATTAAAAGTAATAGTCTTTGTTTAGTCGAACGCCTTTCAATATAAAATAAAATTGCGTATTTTTAGTGATGAATAAAACACGTGAATATAAAAAAACGTAAAAGTAAGTCAAATTAAAAATAAATAGATAAATAACAATTATTGAGATATTGTAATCTATTGTAAAAATGTATTTTATTGAAATTATCAAATTAGAAAATAACTTTTAGGTTTCAAGTAACGAAATAAGAATCAATAATACAAAAAACCAAATTTGAAAAAAGCATAAACTCGAAACTTCAGTAAGACTTACATATACAATTATTTCATCAATTAAATTGTTAAAAGTATAAAGCATGCGATTTACAAAAAGTTTTTCGTTTGCACTAAAAATTTTGGAAGAAAAAGTCGTTGAAAAATATGAAAATTTACGAATTGAATTTAAAAATGAACTCGAATTTCCATATGTATATAATAAAGAAAGTTTTAATTGTTTGAATAATGATCATAATGTTATTTATTTCGAATAATTTCTAATTTATATTTTGTTTACGTTTCTGTCAATGCTAAATGTCATTTAATATAAAATGAATATTTTATTTAAGAGTCAAGCTAATCCAAAGCATAAATTAAAATCAAAAAACTTTTTGTTTCAATGATAAAATATTGATACATATTTAAAATTAAAATTGTACTATAGACAATTGAATTATTGTTAAAAAAATCGTAATATTTCAATTAAACCAATGGCTTCTATTATATGCTAAGCTAAATATTTCTAAATTAATGAAACACTTTCAATGAATTATTGTATTAGAATTCAAATTGAATTATAGTTTTGTGTTATAAAAAAATTTTCTGTGGAATTATACGTATTTTATCCATCACATAATGTAATGCATAACGCAAGAAAAGTAAATCAAGGAATATGCTGAATTTATTAGTTTCGTTTATTAAATTGCATTTACTTCATACATGTGTACATATTTGATTCAAATGTTTTTTTTTATTTTATTAAATGTATTTGTATGCATATATAAATTATAAATGCATTGTTATAGAATCAAATAGCAAATTCAGAATATGGAATATTATCCACATAATATACGGTTTGATGTTTGATTAGCAAAACGAAATCGAAGACTGACTAAATCATGTATAATGTAAATTTATCTTTGTTATGAAATTGCAATAATTAAGTAACTACTATTAATATATTATTCCTACATAATATTGTAAAATAGACTCTTTTAAAATCTAAAGTGGAGTGTCAGTTTAGTAAATTTAGTTAAAAAAAATTTAATTAAAAAATTTTAACTTTTATAAATTGTATTACCACAGATTTATTTGAAGTTGTAGTATCGAAGCTTATTGCTCTAAAATAAAAATTTTAGTAAAATTAAAATGCCAAGAATTTCAATATTTCAATTTTAATAATAAACCACCTAAAAATTATTGTTAAATTTGTCTATACATTTTGGTATATTTTTTATACTAAAATTTGTTGATTCTTTTTTTTTCTTCAAACTGGCAGAAAATTTTATTTTTCTTTTTCAATATGAAAAAGGATGTTTCACTAAAATCAGACTAAATAACAAAAATGTTGAATAATGGAAACCAAATGTACAAATTTTTTTAATTTTATAAATTTATTTAATATTAAAAAATAATAAACAAACGTTATCTAATTATTTATATAGACTGTAAATATTAAAATAAAATCATTTTTTGGATACTTACTGATAATATTATTATAAAATGTGCATTTATAATACCGATACAATATGCACCTGCATATTGATTTACGAAACATATATTTGACTATTAAAGTAATTTACTGAGACACTAAGAATTATTCTAAAAAAATATAACTAATTTAATCAGAAGAATTTAGAATATTAAAATCTATATATCAAAAACTAGTTGAAAAGTTTTTTTCAAAATATAATTTCATTTTAGGAAACTATGATATATATTAGAATATTACATGATAATAATGATATATTATATAATTAATAATTGAAAAAACTAAGTTTTAGCATTTTAAGTCCTTTAATTCGTAATTAGAAATAGTGCTATTATAAAGAAAAAATATGTATGTATAATTATTTAATTTTATGTTAATATATTTAAAAAAAAAATGAAAAAATAATTGTAACAATAATAATTGTGTATCAAATCAGTATGTGTATGCATGTGTGAAAATGTTTAGTAGAAATAAAAAGAAATCTTTTACCTAAAATTTTTAAAATAGATGTCTTAATTCTTTTTATCAAAAAAACTAAGAGAACAGCATCAGATTTAAATTGCAACTTTATGTACATATACATTCTTTTATATCAAACATGTATTAATTACATACTATATTCAGAAGAAATTTAAAAGCACAAAATAAAATAAAAAAATATTGAAAACGTGCCTTAAGACAAAGATATCGAATTTTCATTTGAAATTATTTAAAAAAATATATGTGAAATTTTAAAACTTTTAGGGCGTAAGATCAATACTTAATAAAACAACTTTTTTAAAATCAATTTAAATATGCCCGTGCGTCCGTCTTCTGTTGATGCTCTCATTTAAGAATGTAAAGAGATAGAGATGGTAAATTCTTAAACGTCAAATTTTACAAAATCTGAGTTGTCTGAGTTTACGAATACTCTACTACGTTTTTACTCTCAGTCAAAGTTTAAAATCTTAAACGTTTAAAAAAAGTCAATTAAGCGTCAAAATTGTAGATTTTTTTTTTTACATGCAGACAGTCTGACGTAGTAATTCAGTAAATAAATTTGATGTGTTGAGTGACTATCATTACGTTAAAAATAATATAAAAAATATTTTTATTGTTAATTTTTAATATGTAAGTAAGTATAAAATTATTTTAAATCTAAAAAAAAATTTTTTTTTGTTTTGACGTTTACGGATGATCAAAATTCAAAGTCAATTACGGGTAAAAAGTTTACTAGATTTCTGTCCGTAAAAGTTTTAGTTTCAGACAGTTTGCAGACTAAAATCAAAATTTTGACGTTAAAGAATTTGCGGAGAATTGAATTTTGAACTTGATTGAAGCAAAAAAATGAAAAACTGTTCGAAATATCTGCAACTTATGTCCGATGAGTTTTTCGAACATCAGGATTGATATTAAAGACTACAACTATTTTGAAAAAGCATGCCTTTAGGCAAAAAAGTAAAATCATATTAGAAGCTTTACAAAAACCCTTGTACATATCTCAGAAATCCTTTAGATATGAAAACTAACTCCAAACAAGATTTAACCAAATATTATTGCCCTAAACAACGATACCTTTTATGATCTTTATTACTGATTTACTCTATGTAGGCCAATGTGTATGCAGATTGGTCTAAAATCAAACTAAAAGAGTTTAGTTTGCCTTCTATATATTGTAAGTGAAAACATTAGTTAAAGTTTTGAATTAAAAAAATAAAATTAATTTAAAATAGACTGGATATAATGAATTTAGCAAAGTGTAACGTTAACTCTTTAATTGTTTTTAAATTTTAGTTCAATACAAATTACAATTTTTAATTTGAGTGATAGATAAATCTGATGAGTTTTATAAGAACTAAAAATTGCAATAATTGTTAAACAAAAGTACTTAACATCAAATTTGCATGTAAAATGAGCTATGTATATGTACATATGTTTACATTGTTTAAATTTACTGTTAAAAAAATATACATGTTTATCCATTCAGAGTATTAACATGGTACGTCTTTGGCTATTACGATTGATTTTTTTAGATATTATGTATGACATACATATGTACATGCTGTGAGATCGCTTCATATATTTTGAAACCAAATTAAATAAAAATTTCTTGTAAACTATAGATCTGTCTGGTATAAGAAAGTTTTTAAAAAATTTTAAAAACCTTATTAAGTTTTTGCATGCAAAGCGTCTGGGATAAAAGTTTTTGAACAAAAATGAGAGAAAATGGTGACATTCTAATTTTCTCAATGTTTTAAACATTTTTCAAATTTTGTAAAGTAAAATTTAGTATTTTAAAAACTTTTAAAATGTTACAGCTTTTCGAAATACATATGTATGTATATGTTTTCTTGGTTATGTCAGAAGGTTTAATTTTTGAAAAAAAATTTTTTTCATCAACAATAACCTTTTTCTCAAAACTTGTCAATTAAACATAAAACAAACAAAAAGGTTTTATTCTTTATTTATAAAAGTTTCACACTTTTATAATCCAAAATAAAAATTTTCGGTTTTTGGTATAATGTTTGATAAATACTTTGACATTTGACGTTTACCATCTGTTTATAAAGTTTTAAAAAGTTTTTTCAAGTTTTCTGTCAGCCTGGTTTATTTTTTTTTAAGTGAGAATTTTTTTTCTTTTGAGGGAAATTTCGTCATTGTTTCTCTTTTTAAAGTTTTTTCAAGTTTTATCCGAATGTATCCTTATATGTAAGTATGTCCTTATATGTACATACATAGATAAAAAAATAATTTTTTTTTAAATAACAAAAAATTTTTACATATTTTATCAAAATATTTTTTTACTTTATTTTTTTACCACTTAAGTACAATAAGGATATTCGCCAAAGGTTTGTTAAAGTTTTACTTCATTAGCTATGAAAAAGATTTTAATTGTTTATTTCGCGAAATCTGTTTTTTCGTATTTCGTAAAAACGCACAGAATTCTTTTTTCAAAACTACATTTTTTTTATATAAAATTCCATAAATTTAAAGCAAATTTAATAGAGGTTAAATTTAAATTAATAATTGAAGAAATTCAGTACACTTGTAGCTTATGCACATATGTATGTATACATATGCACATATGTATGTAACTGAAATATAAAATTTTATATAAATTTCCAATTTAGTGAAAAACGCAAATCTGTCTTACAGAAGAGTACCATAGCTGTTACTCAATTTTAAATTTGAAGGTAAAGATAAAATTGATGCAATTTATAAAGACGGCGAAACTTTTCAAACCTTTTAAAGATATCCTGAATTATTCATTTTGAAAATATATAACTTAAAAAATATTAATAAATACTTTGTCAAAGACATCTGAGGAAATTTATTGTTTGACATTGTCATAAGGAGCAAGTATACCAGGTGGCCCACCAAAACCTCCTGAATATTTTCCTGGATGATTTCCCTTTTCTGCAAATCTATTATCAATTGTAGGTTGCTTATTGAAAGCACTTTGACCACTTGCTGGTGTAGGACTTGGGTTAATAATGGTCCCACTACTACCACTAGAAGGACGGATGGCGTAGCCCGGTTTTTGGTTTCCTAAGAATCCTGGAGCCCCACCAAATGTTCCTGTAAATTTATGATTATTTTTATTACTTTTTATATAGCTATCATTTTTAACATTTATGTTAAAAGCACTAATTCCACCTGAAGAAACTTGTTGTTTTGGTGCCGATAGCCCAGCAGTTTTCGTTAGGAATGGATTACTTGAAAATGGAGGTGGATTTGCTTCAGCTTTTTGCACTTGTCCAGCAGCAATTTGATTTATTGGTGTTTCTATTGGTGGAAGCAAATCTTTATTTAAAAAATTTGAATATGATTCAGAATTCGTAGGAAACGAATATGTTCCATTTTTAGAAATGTTTTGTGATATTAATGAATTTTCAGTTGAAATTAAGAAATCATTACCTTGAATTACTTCTTTTTGGTCTTGGTTTTTGTTAAAATTTAATCGTTCTGCAAATGATGTTGCTGGTGCACTTGAGAATGTACTTGAAGTAGAATCAATTGTACTATCCGCTATAGAATACTGTTTTTGATCAAGTACCGGTGGTATAAATAATTTTGAAGGAGGTGCTGCAGTAAAGAATTCAAAATTAGAAGAAATTGAGTTAGTTATAGAGTTACTAATGCTATTGGCAGAAGTGGTAAATGTGCTAGAAGTAGTAGTAGTGGGACTAGTGGTTATAGTGATTTGGTCAAATTCTGTGTTAAAGATTTGCGGTAAAGGCTTTGAATTTGAATTTGAATTTGCGATAGTAGAAGAAGAAATTTCTGGTTTCACAGTATTTGGTGTTAAATTTTTTGGTAATAAAAGTATTGAATGTTGAGTGGGTGATGGTTTTGTATATATTGTAGGTGGATTATTGGAGGATATTAATGTTGTGGTTTGTGGTGGCATTTCAGTGTTGGAGACGAATTCTTTTGTAGCAATTAGACTTGGGGTTGTACATCCGTAAGCTGAGCACATTGAAGAGCTTTTTTCTGAACTATTTTCTATATTTTTGTACGCTACATGTTTTGGTGTTGTTGTTACTCTTGATTCTGTTAAAGAAATGCTATTTAAGGTATTCGCTCTATGTCCAACGTTTATAAATGATTTATCAAGTACAATATTTATGATTGGCGAATTTTGAAATTTGGATACACGTTCATTTTTTAAAGTTTTTGCCGCAGTTACTGCAGACGGCCCACTTATTGATTCATCTATTATACCCGGATCTAAATTTGCCGCAGGAGGAATAAGTGGATCTGTATTCAGCGCAAAAATATTTTCCATTTTCATATGGAACCTGTCTAAAGAACTCGTGTTTGACATTGCATAGTAGCTAGAATTTCCTCTAGGTGATGTAGCTTCAATATTATATGAAAGGCTTTCAGTGATATTTTCTTTATAATCTACAGGTTTATTTTCGTTAGGCTTACTTGTTGTCTCTTCTATAGTTTTTTCAGAAGTAGATTCAGTATATGTGATATGGAGATTATCAGTGGAACTTGTTTCCACTCGTGAAGGAATAAATGGCTCTACATTCATTGCAAACGTTTCTAAAGGTTTGGTAAATGTATCATTTAGTTGTAATTTACTTTCTGGCTCAACTTTATCACGTGAAACAGGTTCATCAAATTCAAGTTCATCAAATTTATCTTGAATTGGAGGTATCAAAGGTTGTAAATTTAGCTTCAGCTGAATTTCTTCATTATGAATTTTTTTATTATTGTTCAAATCTTCCGTTTCCGAATTCAACACTTTCCCAAAAAGGTTTGGGTCTTCTGCGTCGTATGCGACGGTTTCAGGTTTTGGCTGATGTTTCAGAGAAGCTGTAGTTGATAATGTACCTATATTAACTTTCATATTATTTATTTTACTCAACTTATTTCTACCGTCTATTTTGCTTTCTTTTTGTGCTCCTGGGGAAACATTTCTATCTCCGTCTTTTTTAGCAGCATTTATTTCTATATCATTTTTATATTTTAGATCTGGTGCAGATGTACTTTGAATTTGTGAATTAACAGGAATCTCAAAGTCTAATGTCGATAATGTGTGATTGAAGCTGAACTCATCACTTCGGGGTTGAGTTTTAAAGAACATAATTTTAGTATTGTTAACGCCTTCAGTTAAAGATTCATATTCAGAAGAATATGTTACTTCTGGTGGGATTAAAGGTTCTAAATTTAAAATAGAAAGTGTCTCGTCGTTCTCAATAAAATATTGTGGCTCATTTTTTTCTAATGGGACATGAGAAACGTTTTGAAAATGTGTTGTTGGATTTGCTGATATTTGCGGGTCTGATTTGTTATTATTATGTATATTTCTTGAGACAGCTTTTGGCAAGGTAAGATGTGAAGTAGTCTTTTCTGAGGGAATAAAGTTTTTTGGCACTGTTGATATTGAAAACTTGCTTATTACTTGTGGCCTACGATTTAAATTTCTTGCGGTATTTTTATTAGCTAATTTAGCATTTGCTTTATTAGTCGCAGTTCTCGTTGCAGTCATTTTTGTAGTTGAAATAACCCTTTCTGGTTTTGAAACACTTTTTGCAGGGAAAGTTGGTGATTTTTCAATTGCTTCAGTTGTTATTTTGTTATGAATAGATTCTACTGACTTGCTGGTTGCTGGCAGTTCAACAGGAGATGATTCACCAGTTTCGTGAGCATTGGCTAATTCGGTTTGCGTATTGGAAAAATCATTGGGAATGGATTCATCTGTTTCTTGAACTCTTGGAGGAATTAAAGGATCTAAATTAAGTTCTGAAATTCCTTTTACAGTTTCCATATTGTTAATTTCAGGTACATTCGTCGAAGACTCGTCTTTATCTCTATGTGTAAAAAAATTCTCAGCTGCAGGTAAAAATGGATTTATATTCAAACTTTGAACTGGATAATTTTGACTAATTTCAAAAGTAAGAGTTTCATTGAATTCTGTTTTTGGTGGAACTAACGGATTTAAATTTAGTTGTGAAAGTTTTTCTGTCATTTCTGCGGAAAATTTTGGTGCAACAGTCACTACATCGAAAGCTGCTGCATCTTTTTCAAATCGATTATGATTTTTTACCTGGTTTGGCGACTCGTGTTTTTCTACTTCAAAAGGATTATTGACATCAAATTCTATATCAGTGTTAAGAAATGGTGGTGCTACTAGAGGGCTTACGTTTAATTCAACCGATGGAACAATGGAAAGTGGTATCAAATTTGGATTTATCTCAAAATACCTTTCCAATTGCGAGAAATGCTCATTATTCCTAAGATCAATACTTCCTGTATTTGTGTTTGCTAATACATTTGCGTCTGTTATTAATTTTTTCGATGGACTTTCAATAGCTTTGGCTTGTAAGATATTCGGTTGAGATATTGATTGTAAATTTAACTGAACTTTTAAAGGATATTGTGATTTCTGTTGTGTTGAATCTGTATTCTCAATTTTCTGGTTCGTTACAACATCAGCTTGTAAAACTTTAACGTTTTCTTCTTCATCATTTGTGCTTTGTTCGTTAATACTACCACCATCTGTTGCAACAGAATTATGCACGTAGTGATATAATCAATAAAAAAAGTCAGTAACTAAGTGTGATAAGATTGAAATATTGTATTTTATTATGAACTCTTATAGGTATGAGATATGTTTATGACAATATGTTTAGAAGCGTGCTTTAAGAAGAAGTAGATATTATTTAAAGAAGAAAGAAAAAAGTTTGTTAATTGGCAAATGAATAATTGTTACCATATATGTAGATGATTGCCGTATTGGAAACTTACCTAAAGGCGGAAGTAAATTGCTGTCCGGTTTTTTAATTTCTGTTATTCCAGAAGCATATTTTGGTATTTCAAATTGAACTCCTTCTCCGGCATGAACAAACTTTCTTCCATCTGGTGCATCTGCAGCTTCTAAATAAGCAACTGGATTACCATAGCTGTCCAATGCTTGTCTATATACTCCAGATTCTATTATTGGCTTTGGCGGAATGGAAGTTTCTGAAACAAAAATTAAAATTTTAAAAATTATAAATGAAGTAAGATAAAATTTTGCGTTTAATCTGATAAATAACTTTATAACACTTTTCGTCGTGGTTCATTCTTAAACCACTTATAATATTTAGTATAAATCCTGCTCATAATATCTAGTACAATTAAAAGCAAATTATACGAATAAATTCAATATAAAATTGACTTTATTAAAAATAATTTTACTTGATTTTCTTTGAAAGAAAATTTTGTGTGTTAAGGATGTATTGTTATCATATGTAATATATATAGCTAAAAGTTATTTTTAGTTAAAACGAAAAAAAGTAGAGTTGACCGTGTCAACTCTGTAATACCCGTACGAATTTGTTATCCTCTATGGGAATAATTTGAGTACTGTGTTTTCAATATTTTTTTAAGATATCTCTGCTACAAAGAGCTGAGCAATTTCAACGACTTTTATCAAGCATATTGGCTCTACTAATATATTCGTTTGTGTGAAATTTCAATGTCACAGCTTTTACAGTTTCTGAGATATAGCCAAATAAATTTTGAAGTTGTATGGCAGCTACCTGAACCAGCTATCCCGTTCATACGCAATTTAAATAGGGTTCTGGCATTTACTTTAATGAATTATTTGTTTTAAAAAAAAAGTTTGTAATGAATTATTGTAATGAATTATTTGAAGTAAAAAAAAAGTTTTTGAAAACCTTCCATGTATTCATTTTTTTAGCATTTTTCCAAAAATTTTTTGAAAAAAAGTGCTTATTAGTTTCACTCTGTCCGTCCGTCCGTCCGTCTGTCCGTGTGTCTGTTTACAAAACTTCTACACCCTTGAAGGTAGAAACCTAAAATTTTATATGTACATATATCTTTACCAAAAACTTATTTCCTTAGAACAAAATTTTTACCTCACCCCCTCTAAAAGTTATACCCCCCCCCCCCCCCCCCCCAAAACCATAAAATGGCTTTTCTTAACTATTTGTTGCAATGAAACCATAAACATTTTTCAAATTTTGTAAACGCAGAAAGGCAGTGGCTTGCTTCGCCTATCGTGGCATACTGTTTTTTCCAAATTTTTGATGTCGTTTTTCTTCCAGACCCCAGGTTGTAGGAGCCTGAAATTTAAGCAACTTTTAGATACTAATAAATAGTTTATTTTGTTAGGATAAAATTTTTCCATCTTCACCCTCTCTCAAGTTATCAACTCTTCAAATTTGTAAGATTTGAATATTTGGCATCCTTTATTTCTGAAACCACAAGCTTTTTTAAATTTTTATAAACGCTGGAAGCTTACGGTAAATTCCATGCCACTAAAAAGCATAATTATTTTTCTTAACCCGCACCGCAATAATTTCGCAATTTACCCTTAAAATCGAGCATTATGTTAAGCCCTCTTTAAAGTAATTTTTGCTTTATTGCAAAGGCTGCAAAATCGTCCATCCTAAATATGTGCAATCGTAGAAATAGTTTCGTATATGAATGAAAATATTTTTAATAGTGTGGTAGATATACTAGACTGTGTTTAAAAGCAGTATTTTCACGAAATGTTGAAGGCAAAAGTGCTACAATACAAACCATTGGTCTGACCCAACCATTGGTTATTATTTAACAGAACGATTAAGATATTATACTCGAACAGAAAATTTTTATCCTTTTAAGTTTTTTCAGTATCCTTTCAAGTTTTGGTACAGCTTTGCTATACAGCTTCAAAGATTTTCTTCAGTTTAACATTTTTAAATATTTTGTGTAGTTTAATATCATTTTCCAAGAAGACATGAATATTTAACCGACCTGACTCGTATCGTAAGAACAAATTTAATTGAATAAAATTTCTTTACTTTTACGGCTAGCAAAGAACATTTTAGCAACATTTAAGAAGATAAGTGAAATTGATCGATACCAATATAAATACTCTTGTATAAAAAATCTTCAGTTCTCTCTAATATTCGTGTTTTTCGTCTAGTCCAAGAAGATTCACGTTAATATTTGATTTCGCTTGTTTTACTTTGATATTAAAATTTAAGAAAATAATTAAATTTTGTGAAAACGGAGGTTTTTCTAAATTTTGCCCGTGATTGCAACTCTAAGCATTCAGAAGATTGGATTTTTGGCCTTTTATCGAAATCAAGTTTTGCTACCTATGCCCTATATATGTACTGCTTAAAGTTAAAAACTGTTATTCTCGCAATTTATATACCTTTACGTTTATCTTCACTTATTTGTGTATACCACAGTAAAGTTTATTGAAATTTTTTGATTTGAATGCATACGATGCACGTTAATGTATTCTTAAACCATAATTACCATGTACGCAGTTTGATCAGTATTTGTTTATAATATAAAAATACATATATATATATAAACAAAGCATACTTGTATAATAAAAGCAAAAAGTTAATTTACAATACAGAATAAAGCAATCAATACAATTATTTGTCAAATACTGAATGGAATAATTACGTTATACACCAAATAATAATAAAAGTAGTGCGTGGAAGGTAGACTTTACTCAAAAAATCGAGGATATATGAAATAAATAGTTATTGTTGACTATTTAAAAAGATGACAAAACGGTTTGAAGAGGAAATGTTTGATTCAAATTTTAATTATTTATTTTGGAAAAATTAATGATTTAAGCCTTGTAGTACAAATAATACAGATTTTTATCACATTTTTCAAATGTAATAAAAATCTAAAATAATTGTTCATTAATTCGTAAAGTTTATTTTGCCAAAATTAGCAAAAATTTGTAAAATTTTTTAGCCAGTAAAAATTTAGTTAAATTTCTTTTTTTCTTATTTAATTTATTTACAAAATATATACACCTTATTATAATCAGAAAAAACATTTTGCGTTCTCTCGCCTCTATTGATATTATGGAAACTTTAAAAAACTGGCACTTGAAACATGTTTTTAAATAAAATTAAGTATATGAATAATAATTAGTAGCAGGGAAAAATAAATTTATAAGATGCTATAAACTCAATTCAATAAGAAAATAGACTGAAATGAAAATTTTATTTATTATCACTACTATTACTTTTATTGATTTTTTTATTATTTTTTTTTTTGATTATTTTTATTAAAAAAATACTCAAATTATTCTAATGATACGAGTTAATTAATATTCAGACCTGGGGACAACAAATAAACCTTTAACCCTTCTTTTAAAAATCTGAAAATTGTCAATATTTTTTAATTCATTTGGCAACCCATTAAACAGTTGAGACCCAGTAAATTATATTCTTTGAGACGATAGAATCGTACCACGTCTATGAGCACGGATATTATTTTTATTTCTTGTATTGAATCTATGGGTAAATCTTTCAACTGAAGAGATATTATAGTGACCAATATTGTTTAAAATTTTATATATGTTCAAAATTTGTTGGAACTGGTAAATAGCCCCTTTAGGAAATATATTATTTACAAAGTATAATCTATAAGTACTATATAATCGAGGTAGTTTTAAAATATTTCTTAAGATCTTATTTTTGTATACCTGTAATCTGCTTGCTAAGTTATTAGATGCCCACAGAACCATACCGTTCGAAAGTATCGAGTGAATGGCAGCATAACACATTTTTAATTTTATGCCCTTAGGAATTTTATTTTTAAATTTATACATCATACTATTAAATTTATTTAACTTACTTTCCAAAAAAATTAATATGTGGAAACCATCTCAGATTCTTGTCCGGTATAATACCAGGAAATTTAACTTCACTCACCTCACTCAACAAAATATCACCCACCGTATTTGAAAGTTACTGTAATTCATACGTAGAGACCGAAAGTTAATTATTTTGATCTTATCTGTATTCATTGACAGCCTATTTCTTTCCAGATACTTAGTTAATGCAACTAAATTTCACTCAACATTTAATTCAATTATCTGTGGATCGTTACCATTGTAAAATAAACTACAGTCGTCTGCAAATAAAAACAATTTTCCTACCAGGGGCAATCAATGGATATCATTCATTATTTCTAAAGATTAGAAATAAACAAAGACCCAATATAGAACCCTGAGGTACTCCTATATTAATATTTTTTTAAACTGTTTTCTTTTTTTTAAATAGTTATCCATCAAATTCAAGGAAGTGAATGGAAAATCAATATATGAGAGCTTAACCCGTAACAGATTATGTGCAATCGTATCAAAAGCTGATTAGTTTTTAAATGTCTTAGTCTATTTGAGTATATTATTTGAGTCTTAGTCTATTTGAGAATACATCAGTATTTGAATACTTTGGCGCAGAAAGGAACGATTGATATTGGCCTATAACTACTTGGTTTACATGCGTCACCATTCTTAAAGACAGGTATCACTTTTTGGATCAGGCCCGGCTCGACCGTGGATGCAGAAGATGCACGGCATCGGGGCGCCACTCTGAAAGGGTCTGAATGGGCGCTAAAATCGAAAAGTGATTTTCCACTTAATTGTTTTTTTTAATTTTTTTTTTTTTTAAATCAAGTTTCCAATCCAAATTTTTTTTAAAAAAATTTTTGCTTAGCTCAAATTAAAAAAATCTTTTTTCGTTAAAAGCTTTTTGGTTTATAGACAGGCATTTTTCATTTTGCGATATTTTCAGTAAGAAAAAATAGTATTTTATTTATTTTAAATAAAATATAATTTATTTTGTGAAATATTTAATTTTAATTAGACATTAAAGTGTAAGAAAAAAGTGTAATTTGTTGGATAATACCATTTTTGTGAGTATAGTGATTTTTATCAATTTTATATAGATTTCAAATTATCAAAATTTTGCAGCATCATTAGATAGACATAAACTCTTCTGAGTTATATAATGAACTTTTTATATTTAAAGATACCATAACGCCGCAACTAAACATTATGATCCCTTAAAGATTTTAAATTTTATGTATACAAATGATTTATTTGGGATATTTCCAAATTTAACAATAGCTTTGCGGATACTATTAACTCTACCAGTTTCTGTAGCAAGTGGCGAAAGGTCATTTTCTAAACTTAAATTAATTAAGAC